TTCCTCACCACTTGTCAAACAATCACCCCCTTACCCTGGCCATCACACCATGCACCAAAACATCACCAGTTCAATTCCTGGTGATGGCACATGCCCAGGTTTCAGGTTCAATTGATCAATATTTCTCTCTCTCTCTCTCTCTCTCTCTCTCTCTCTCTCTCTCTCTCTCTCTTTCTCTCTCTCTCTCTTTCTTTCTTTCTCTAAAGAAGTCAATAAACACACATATATTTTTTTTAAGTCTCCCAGTTCTGCTTTTTAAAAAAACCACCCCTCCTCCATAACTCTCTATAGCCTTACCTGGTTTACTAGTAACTGTTTTTCATAGCACTTCCTACCATATATCTTACTAGATATTTTTTGCTCTTTCTTTATTGTATGTTCACCATCTCTCCATTAGAATATAACTCTACAGGGGGCTTTACATTTCAAGGCATCCACAATACATAGGGCAGTTTCTGGAACGTGTCAAACACTTGTTGAGTGAATGAATGGGCTTTTGCACCCTTTTAAGTAGTAGTAGGATTTAAGTAGATAATTGTGGCAAATTTGGAGGATGATAGTGATGTCTAATACTCAGCCTTAGGTGTAATTACACGGCATGTGTCTAAGGTAACCGCTCTCCATTACCTTCAAGCCTTCAGTAGAAGTGCCTGCACCCAGCATCCTGTGGGAGGCGCCCTGAGGGAAATGAGCTGCTCCACACTGAGAGCGACAGGAGCCTGGACGCACAGTCACTGCCAGGCCCCCGTGACAGCAGACGCTAGACTGTGGGCTTCCCAAAGGGTGAGGTTCTTCCCTGACTTTCCCAGAAGAGTGCAGAGAACTCTGGACTTCCCACAGAATGTGAGGTGGAGGTCCATGTCATTCTGTTAAGAAATAGAAGAAAAGGTGGCCCTGTTGAGCAGATGGAGCCTCCGGGCGGGAGAGGGGGGACATCTGAATTCTACTTCTCTCTGAAAAATGTACGGGCTAGAATGATGGAGAAGTGTCTCCCCGTAAAGGGGAAGCTTTGACCTCACTGAGGTGATGCTTCCCGACCTTCTGGGGGAACTTTAAGGAGCAGAGTACCCACCTAGCTGTCTATATTCCCACAGCCAGCTGGTTTCTTAATGAGTCCCAAAGGTCCCTGGCTACCATCAATAGTTACATTATTTCTGAATCAGGTTCATTTCCGACTCAGAAATGAGTCTGAAGGCCTAAGGATGGGGTTTTGATTCTGCTTTCCTAGGAATGCCTCGTTCTGCCTGTGCGTGATCCAAAACCCTGGGAAAGAAGAAACAACGAAACACAGAAAGGGAAAACTGATCTCCATAACTTCAGAACTGAACCAAACTCCTTTGGAAGAATGCAATTTGACATACGGTGACATGCTTTCTTAGCTAAGGACCAGACTTAACTCCCTAAGGAAATCTTTTCTTTTTAGAAGTAAAATGTTTTGTTTTGTTTTTCAATTATAGTTGATGTTCAACATTATTTTCTATTAGTTCCAGGCGTACAGCCTAGTGGTTGGACAAGAGTCCGGCGTGGAGGAGCCAGGCTTCTCTCTCCAATCCCCTCTCTCAATGAGCTGTTGCTTCAGATCAGTCACTCTTGCAGCGGCGTCCCCAGAAGAGCTCTTTTCCTGGTAAGCTGTGGTAAGTCAAAACCTACTTCAGAGAACAGAAAGTCACCACTCTGGGGGGGCTTAAAAAAAACATGGTTTTATATGTCTTTGGTTGTCTGAAAAGAAAGAAAACCTCAAACTACTGAACTAGAAGTAACCTTTTTTTTTTTTTTTTTTAGCTGTTCTTTGGGGTTAGCATTTCATAAAGAACCAATGGCCGATTCCATTTTTAATGAGCATATTCAAAAGTTTTGGGATTTTGACATCCCGTATATTTCTACCGAAGTAAAGAAAAGTAAGTCAAGATCCTAAAGAAACTGTTAACTTCTCTTCCGTAGAACCAGAACTTAAAGCATGGTGAGCTACACACCTGTCTCCAGAGCACGTCAAAGGCATGTGAGCAGGGCTCAGACTTAGAGGTCTAAAAGTGGCAATACCAGTATGATGAGCTGATGGCACAACACACCAGCTCATCTCAGAGTGTGGGACCACTTCCTCTTTGCTCTGGTACCATTCTCTAGAAGGGCCCATAGATTAAAAAAAAAAAAAAAAAGTCCAGCAAACTTTTTGATCGTTGGCACCAAAAGAAAAGGAAAAGGATGAAGAGGACTTCATTGTGAGAACACAGCCCAGCAGCCCAGCAAGGCGAATGCCTCTCTGGCTTTCCCCATGAGGTACCTGGCCAGGAACCTGACCTCATAAAGCAGCTGAATCAACAGAAGAGTTTTAAAGAGAGCCGGTGACATACCCCAACCTGAACCTTTGGCTTTGTTCATTAGTTTATTCAACAAATATTTACTGAGCATCTTCTAATTGACACTTTCAGCTCTGGTTACCTGGCAGTTCTCATCACCAGTCTCCTGATTAACTCCTGGTATTGCCAAGCACCAACGAGATGTAACTTGGTTTCCAATGCTATGGGTTGGGATGCATGTTTTTTTTTTTTCCATCTGCAGCCTCAGGCTCCCATCAGAAAACCTATTCAAAGCTGGAGAAACATTCACACACATTCATGAGGCAACACTACTTTAATTACTCTCAAAGCATACCCATGTAGCCGAACCTGAAAGACACTTGTCTTATAATTAAACATCATCTAACATTTATTGAACACCTAGTATGTGCCAGGCATGGGGTAGGGTGATGAGGATATGGGGGTAAACTAGGCCAAAAAAAGGTCTTGCATTTGGGACATTTAGCCTAGCACAGATTTTTTAAGTGGTCAAATAAATATAGCCATAAACTTGGCTAAGGAAATGGGGCTCCTGTGTGTGGGGACAATCTTCTGAGATGTTTGTCTCTACCAGGAGACCAAGAAATGCACCCATTACCAGAGGAAGAAAGATGGTAAAGAAAGGTTTGGTTTGTCTTTCGGTGAAAAGGGCTACTTGAGCATATGTACCTGCTGGACATGACTTCATAGACAGGGCTAGTTTGAGGACCCAGAGAGAGTTAAATGGGCCACGTAGAGGAGAGGGAATGAGTCTAGTGCACAAATGGAGAGATGGTCCTCTTCTCCTACTGTATCAGGAGGAAAAGGAGGCCATTCAGAGGCAGTGGGTTTTGGGTTCTGGAGGTGGGAGTGGGGTTCCACAGTGGGTGGCGGGGGGAGGGATAGGGTTGGTTTGCAGGAGGGAAAGATGGGATTTAATTGTCTCAAACAACGGAAAAGCATGCTTACCATGGAACTGAGGAAAAAGTGCTGGGCCATGTTGAATACCCATTTGAGACCTGTGACCACTGATGTAAAGTAACGGTTCTTTGCCAGGAGTAATTTTGTCTCCTCACCTCAGCCCTAGTGACATTTGGCAATATCTGGAGATAGTTTTGGTTATCTTCACAGGGAGTAGGGGAGGAGGGCAGGAATGCTGCTCAGCATCCTACAATGTACAATCAGGACAGCTTCACAACAAAGAATTATCTAGCTCAGAGTGTAAAGTGATGGGAGCATTATGTACAGACCCTCCCTGGAAAGCTACACCAAGAGGCAATGACTCTCTTTGTGGGCAGAAATGGGGCCACAGGACAGGGTGAGAAGGGGACTTCTTTCCTCCTATTTTTGCATATCCTTTAAAATTTTGTACAATGAGCATCCATTGCCTATTCAAATCCATCCAAAGGAAAAAAACAAATTAGTGATGATACATAATTGATTAGCTAACTTCAGTAGATGAGTGATTAAAAATAAAATGAAACCAGACAGTCTGTTTGTGTAATTTTTCTCCTGCAACATCCAGCTGCTAGGATGCCAATGTAGAGAAAACGGGATTTTCCCAAGAGGAATTACAGTGAAGGAAACAGAATATTGGGGGTTGAGGGTCTTTCCAAGATAGTGATTGTAATGACAGATGATAGAATCTAAGCCACAGAGAGAGGAGTGAAAATAAAGAAGCTGATGGATATGCAAGAAAATAATAGAGCTCATTAATTAGAAGTCTCAATATGGTAAGTATACTAGTATATATATTTATATATTAGGGGATATATATATACTAAATGCCCGATGCACGAAATGCATGCAAGAGTAGGCCTTCCTTCCCCTGGCTGCCAGCACCGGCTTCCCTCTGGCACCTGGGACCCGGGTTCCCCTTGCAGCCCCAGCTTTGTCCAGAAGGTTGTCTGGAAGGATGTCCGGCCTAATTAGCATATTATGCTTTTATTATTATAGATATAGAGAGATAGATAAAACGTTGAAGCAATTAAGCTGGAATAATAGGAGATGATTTGTGAAAATAAAATGCCTGAAATAAAATTTCAAAAGAGGTATGCTAATGTTTAGCAATGACAGTCTAGAGAAGGCCATGGTAGTGGCTGAAGACAATAGGAAAAGGAAATTGTGAGTGATCAAAGTGAAAATGCAAGAAGCCAGGTGTTTCGATGGATCTCTCAAGAGCAGTGACCTCTGGAGAACAAAGTGTCTCTCACAGAGTAGCTTATAAATAATGGTACATATCTTTTTTTGACATTCTACTATGTGTCAGATACTTTATGTATATATCGGCCCTTTTCTGTCTAAGAGAGGTCAAGGGGCCTGCACAGTGAATACATAGTTAATAAGTGGAGGAACGAAGATTCAAACTCAGGTCATTTTAGCCCAAAGTCTGTGCCCTTTCCACTATGCCCCCAGGAAAAGACAAGTTGTCGTCAAATCTATGGAAAGTTGGGTGAGCTTAACACCGGCAATAATACCAGTAATGGAAACTTTGAATCATGGAAGACAGAGAGGGAAGAAAATACAGAGAGGGGACGAGAGCCTGGCAAAGTCCTTCTCACCCCAGTGAATTCTCCTTGAAGTGGCCTTAAGTCATAATGAATTAAGAAGCCATGGAAGGAAGAAAGACTAAGGAAAAAAGCAAAATCTTTCTGACTTCTAAAAAGTACATCCATATTTCTTATCTGTATTCTAAAATATAGTTTTATTACATGTATTCTTTCCATTTAAAATGCACAAAATATATATAAATACTGGTTATATTATAGGAAAACAGCATCACTAGGTGACAATCCAAGAGGACTGTTAGAGTTGGTTGCCAAGAAGCATTTGAAACCGACACCAAATGCATCCCATATTTCCCTAACATGTTCTTCCTATTTAGGTAGCTTTTCTAATCTCACACACACACACACACACACACACACACACACACCCCTACAATTGCTCTGGAAACATGCATGCTATATAGGGAATGGACTGCATCCCCCAAAGATGTCCCTAGCTTTTCTATTTGCATCACCTGGCAGCTCAGGCTATGGCTTGAGAAGTAAAAATGCTGCCACTGGGACACAGGCCTTTCAGTCTCTTGAGCTTATCATGCAACCCTAGTCACCTTTTCCATCCCTTACGCCTGAAAGACAGCCTCCCTGAGGTAGACAGTAGACCCACCGCAAGAGGTGAGTTAGAAGGTGTCCTTTGCAATGTGCCCAAACACTCTTGGCCTCTGAAGCTGAGTGTAGAACACCCCGGTAGCTGCTTTAGCCCATCTTGCATTTTGACATGCAGCCCAGAGTGTTATGTTCACCAGCTATCTTCCTCATCCTGTCTGGCTCATGGACCTTGGGCGAGATGAGGAACCGCAGACCTGCTGGACTCTGTGGTCTCAGAATCCTCTTGGTTTACGTCTTCTCACTTGACCTCAAGTGGGCTTAAGAAGACCCTCCTTCAAGACAACATTCTCAGTGCCTGTATCAAGGAGCCATAATGGAGAGAACCCCAAAGTGCTCTTAGAGCTTATATAAGCCAAAAAATGTCTTAGACTCTTCAAAATTCACCAGAGAATACTCAGACACATTAACATATAAATGGTCAGCACTGGTGAGATTGAACACCGCACCCAGGTAGCTGCTACGGGCCCACATCTGGCCGGCAGTGCAGTAGTCCATCATCTTCTCCTCCATCAGCACCAGGTCCTGGGGATACTTCAAGTTCCTCATATAGACCTTGTGGTTCAGGGGCTGTTTCTTGCAGGACTGACCCCGGAAGTACACTTTGGAATACACGAAGTACAGCCCAGTGTCATTGATCACGAGGCTGCTCTTCTTATACTTCACCCCAGAGACCAGGGCAATTCCATAGGTGTCTTCCCATTCCAGAGGGATGGATCTTGAGTTGGGCTTGCCTAAAACCAAGTCGGAGAGGAGATTTTAGCCAGGAATGCTCACGCACCCGACAAACTAAGCTTCCAAGGCAAAACTGCGGACCTGCCCTCCCTTGAGCAAAAGGTTGTGTGTGTTTTTTTTTACCCAAAATGACATAACCCCCATAGAGCTGGCCAAGGGGTCAGACTCATCCATCACTAAATTCCTTCTGAGACACACAATGGACAATAATATATACCCTTAACCAATTGCAATAAGAAGTTAGTGAGCGGAACTTGGCTCTCTGGAACAAAGGTTCTATGATCTTCAGAAATAGAAGGTTAGGCTCTAGGGTCCTTCCAGGAGGGAAAAAGCCAATTCCAAGGAACTCTACAGATCTAAAGTTGGAAAGGACCTCAGGGACCCAACTCCTCACCTGCAGTCCCCCTCTTTGGGCTGAAACCCCCTTTCCTCTGTGTCCCCACAACATCATGCACACACCTTAAGCAGAGAACCTCTCCAGTATTGAAGTGCTGACCTGTGTACCTCTTTCCCTATTGGATTTTAGACTTCTTGAAGGCAGAACCACGGATTGTTTCTCTCCATGTCCCCAAGGCTTGGCACATACACATGTATGTGCTCTATAGAAGCCTGTCTCTGGACTGGATCATTCTGCCTAAGCAATCCCAGGGACAGTGGCACGCAGTCTGTGATACTTCTCGGGTGTGTATGAACTTCCCACAGGGACTGCCCCTACCACATCACTGTCAATCATTTCACTCCACAACACAACCACTGGCTGAAAGTCCACCCGTGCCGGGACTGGGCCTCTCCTCCAATTATCAGCTCCCCCAGAACACAGTGATGGAGACCAACCAGCTGTCCTACTTCCTGCCTCTTGCACCTTCCCGATACACACCTGTCAAATGGGCCACTTTCCTCTGCTCCCCTTTTTCAGAGCTTGGATTGGGGTGACCTGTATCGTAGAGAGATAAGATATAGAAGTAAAAATGAGATATTGACTATTCTTTTGGTGGAACTCTAAACAGGGCATTTAAATAAAAGAGATTTTTTTAAAAAATGCATAAATGGCAACAGTCTAACACATACTAATGCAAATCCAAACTGTGGAACTCATAGCCCCCGTATTACAGACAGGGAGAGGTAAAAAATAAACCAAATTAAGACAGACGTAGGCATGTTATACTGTTACAATAAAATGACATTCATTAACAATTTTATTCATTCATTAGGAGCTGTCATACCAGTTACTGCATTTAGAATGTGCCACAACCCTTTCAGGTAGAGATACTGGTCCCACCTCGTAGATGGCAAAATGAGCTTAGAAGTTGGGTGGCTTGTTCAACAAGACTCGACTACTCAGGGTCAGAGGGAACCAACACTGGGGAATTCTGACTCCAATCCGGGACTCTTTCTGCTCTGGCTTTACTGTCCCGAAGACTCGGCAGGCCAGAGGGTGAAGAGGACTGCTAATTCACCTCCTGGCTGCTAGGTCTTCCCCAAAGGCATTCTACAACCTGCCCCAAATTAATTATCATAAGGCTCAAACACCTTGAATGGATCCATTGAATGTATAATTGTGTATGGTTCCCCTAGGACTCCTGGTGTGGCCTGAACACGCCCAGCTCTCTGCCTCTGTGCCTTTGCTGATGTTGTTCCTTCTACCCAGAATGCCCTTCCAAACAGATCTCTATGTTAGATTGCTATCAACCCTATAAATAATATCGAAAATACCTCTTTCTTTGGGGCACCCTCCCAAGCCATTTTAGTCAAATAGGATTTTCCCCTCCCAGAATCATCCTGTCTTCACCTCTCTTGTCCACTTGGATACCTACCCCTTTTCTGTGAAAACTGTGTAACTTGCCTAACTCTCTCAAATAAATGGTAAACTCCTTATTACAGGTTCAATCCACCAGAGTATTCAGGTCAGTTTCTAACACAGGGCATGTGACCAGTAAATGTTTGCTAAATTACATTGAGGAGTTAAAATAGAGAATAGTTCTCAAAATAGACACTACTTCTCTGACTTCAAATATTGAACTGGATAGAGCTATAGAGCTACCACTTAGCTAATGAATTGAGCTAAGACATTGGAGAAGGAGTCTTAGAAAGGTGCATGGGAAGGCCTCAACAACTGAGAACATTCCCTGAGCTCCTGCTACCTCTGCAGCCACCCAAGATCACCCACCATGAATGAGGTGCTAGTGAACAGGAAAGGCAAAGCTGACTCTTGCCTGCATTCCTGCACCACAAGCCGTCTGTGCAGCTGATCTGGCATTAGGCCATGTTCTGACAGGAAATGGTGCATATCTTTATAGCCCTCAGAGTGCCTTGTATGGTATAGTTCTCATAGAAAGCGCTCAGTAAGATTTACCTGCTGGATAAATACTGGAATAAGGAAACTAGAAATATATCCCATACTTTGGTGATGACTGTTTTCTGCCCCAGGATCTTTGCACATGCCATTTTCATTGCTGAAATGCTTTCTCCTACCCTCCCACTGCACTACACACACACACACACACACACACACACACAATCACAAGACCTCCTTGGGACTTTCCAGACCATCTGCCTTAGGCACACTCAGCACACTTTGGAAAGATATGGTTTGTTTGCCCGCTTTGGTTTAGCTCCTCCAACTTGCTTCAAGTTCAATGAGGGTAGGTCCCTCGTCTCTCTTGTTCTCAGTGGTCACCCCCAACCCAACACCCAGCCTGGCACATAGGAAGCACCCCAAGAACATTTGTGAATGAATAAAAGAGATAATGAATTAACTGTGGCAAAATGGAACATGAAAAAGATATACATAAAGAAGCTTAGTGCCTCCCAGAGGGAATCAGTCACTATGCTAAAATAGAAATTCTTCCAGTTCTTTGCTAAGAACATAAAGATGTAAAAATATGCATATATGTATATAGTCAATATTAAACTAACGTATGTTCTTACCTCACACTATAGAGTGCACACTCTCCATGACATTAAGTGTTCTTCTAATATATGGTTTTTAGCTGCTGTTTACTATGCTGTCATCTCAATACACCATGGTACATTCAACTAATCTCCTATTAAGAGGCATTTACATTTCTTCCGAATTGTTTATTATAAATAGCCTTATAAGGAAGTGATAAACATCCTTGTACATAATTTTTCAGGCACAGCTCTAATTATTTTCTAAAGATAAATTCTTTGTGATAAGATTACAAGGTAAATTAACAGTTTTGATCCTTTGATATATGTTTCCAAACTGCTCTTCAGAATTTACAGGCCCCTGGCTGTCCATCATGTTTAAACAGCCCCTTTCTCTCATCCCAGCTAGGTTTGTTTTTTAACCTTTCCTAATTTGATGGATGAAAATGGGTATCTCTTGTTTTAATTTGCATCTCTTATCTTATTAGTAAAGTTGCTAATTTGATTTCCATGTGATAATTAACCAATGTTGGGTCCATCTGGGTTGATCTGGAGAAGATGATTGTTCTGGGGTTGGTAGACCTGACTCATCTGCTCGCTTGACTTTTAATCACTAAGATGACTTCAGAGAGTGGGTGAAAGATGAGTAATTATGTACCAGTTTCACCAGCCACATTCCACTGATTTTTCAAATCTATTTTAGCCTAGAAATCTTCTAGAGGCTTTGTTTTTTCTAGCAAATATTTCTACACTGCTTGTGCCCATCTGGACTTTCTTACCCTTAGGGACTTGGACCCAGAGCTGGGGACCAGAGCCTCCTGAGGTTGGCTCCTACATTAGGCAGTAGGGCGATTTGGATCACCTGAGCAGGCACTGCCTGAGGAATGGGCTCCCCTTACTGACTGGCCAGTGCTGCCTTATGTTTTCTTCCCAATTTCTAATAAGATTTACTTACTGTCTTCGCAGAGGCATCTTTCTTCCCATCTATATTTTTCATTTCATAGTCATCATAGAGAGATGGGAGTTGCCTTATTTCATGAGGTATCAGTCCATATACTGGAAAGCCCTGTAGGTTCATACCAGTGGTTTGGGGCACGTGGCCTCATCTGCCTGGTGTTTTGTCCCTCTTCTGAAAAATGAGATGACTGGACCAGATGCAATCTAAGCTCCCTTCCTATTCTTACCAAGTCTAAAGGTCCATAAGTCCTAGGTTAATCTCTCTGTCCTAAATCTGTCTGCCCACAGTTTCCAAAACTATGTCCGGAAATGTGATGAGGTCAATGCTCAACATTTCGCCTTCCTCCTGTCCTGGATCTCGTACAAAGAATTTTCCTTTATTATTATTTTTTAAAATATGTTTTTATTGATTTCAGAGAAAGGAAGGGAGAGGGAGAGAGAGACAGAAACATCAATGATGAGAGAGAATCATTGATTGGCTGCCTCCTGCACACCCCACACTGGAGATCGAGCCTGCAACTCCGGCATGTGCCCTGACCAGGAATCAAACCATGAACTCCTGGTTGATAGGTTGATGCTCAACCATTGAGCCATGCCAGCTAGGCCTTTTCTTTATTATTGAAGATAGTTCACAATAACCTCTGTGGTCGAAGCTGGACTACCCTTTGAATAATGGCGACGTCTTCCCCCAGTCTTTCTAGTGACTGCAAAAGAACCATCCTAATGAGGATGATCAATTCCCCACTTTTTAAAAGCTTTGGCACATCCTATTAAATGCTTTAACTAAAGCTTGACTCTTGATTAATCTCTTAGAGAATTTAAAGAGAAGACCTTTCCTAGAAACATCTCTCTCTCTCTCTCTCTCTTTCTCTCTACCCCCACCTCTCTGGGGAGTTTCAGCCACTGCCCTGTGCCTGGGACCCAGGAGGCCTGAGGAAGGAGACTGACCTGGAGCCAGCTGCTCAGGCGACAAAGATCCAGGGTTGAAGAGGTGTGTGTCTCTTCCCAAAGTTAAGTGGAAATTATTTTTAATTGTGGGCAGTACTCAGATATACTTATTTTGAACAATTAACTTGACTTCATAGTTGAGGGCAGCTCAGAGAACCAAAAGGACCAGAGATTCAGAATCAGCCAGGATTCCTATTGTAGTAGAATGTGCCCCAGAACAGGTGCAGTTCACAGCATTCCACCCACAGGGCCCAGCTCTGAGGACCATCTTTGGAAACTCAGTCTGCATGCATAAAAGGACTCACCTATTTGCTTCTCCAAAGATGATTCAATATGCCTTTGGCTGGAGGACTGACAAAGAGAGAAAGAAAAGTTGTATAATAAATATAAAGTTTCCTAAGCAAAGGAGACAGAATTGCTCAATATAACAGGCTCTGGGAAGGCATCTACATACCTCACAGCCTCTCCTACCTCGGACTTTGGCCGAGCAGCTGTGTCTCCCTGTGCCTGAGCTTTGTGATTTGGCATACTTCTGACATTTTTAACTTTTTTTTTAATTTTTTTTTTTTTTTTAGTTTGGCCATTTGCACAAATTCACTTCCAAGTGATGCTCAATGTTCCTTTTCCTTGTGTCACTAAGGACGTGGCTCACCAGGCTGACTTGCCATCTCAGGAAGGAAGACTGTAGCTGCAGCCTCTCATGACCCTGATCCTCTACATGATAAAAAATATTCCTTTTACTTATGCGAGCCTCCAGTTCTCTGTCCGTAGCACAGAATGGCTAAGACAGTCCACCTCTGAGGCAGGAATAAGGGACTGAAGAGCACTTTGCAAGGAAGACCGTGGTCCGCCTGGACCAGGGCAGCCTGACACCGTCCACTGCGTGGAGCTGTCCCAGCCCAGCACTCGGGCCCCAGCAAGCACAGGGCTTACCTCTCTGAGCTCGGCCAGCTCCTTCTGCAGGTGGAACAGCTGAAACATCCCCAGCCCCAGCACAACCAGGGCTACCAGGATCATGAAAAACATCACAAGGAGACACAGGCCTGTGTTGTGGTCCCTGCTCTTCTTCAGAGGTGGCAGTGGCAGTGGAGGCAGGGGTGGCAGTGGCGGCGGTGGTGGTGTTGGTGGTGGTGGTGGTGGCGGTGGCCTCCTCTGGCCAGGTCTTCGAGGCACCGAGGAGGGACAGGGGAGGACTGTCCCTGGAGGAGTCCAAGGGGAGGGGGCCCTGCTGTCCACCCAGTAGATTTGGGGGTACGGGTAGTTTAGAGGCTGCTGCATGGCAGCCACAGAACCTGCAAAGGGCGTACCTCCTTCTCAGTCCCTGGAGTCCAAGTGTCACGAGGGGACATCTGCTGCTGACTGCTCGAGAGGAGGGAGCCGGCGCCTTCTTTATAGAGTTTCCATGGTCAAGGGAAACACCTCACTTTGGTTCTCTCTTTCAGCTTCTCAGAGAGACACCCACTCACTTTGCATCTGAAGCTGAGAACCCTCAGGAAGCTCAGCGCAAACCCCGGGAAGTTTCCACCCACAACGTTCTGATGAAAGCCTGCACTGCCCAATGGCTGCGCGAGCGCCGGAGAGGCTGGCGGGAGGCTGGGCGGGCCCTGCGAGCAGGTAGCACCAGGTGCAGGCCCGTGGCTTCAGCTGCCGCCCAGCTACGGGCGCAGTGGCCATGGGTACATCCAGGCACCTAGGGGCACGCCGAGTAGTTGTGGTGGGAAGCGTGGCTTTCACATCTTACCGTTTACATGAAAGACTCATCCCCTGCTGTCATCCTCCCCCTGCACAAAGCTTTTGTACCCGACTTTCCAAAGCACCATAATCTACAGTGCAACTCTGGCCCCATCCACTCGCCAGAGAGTCCACCAGAGGTTGCAAACCAGTGGCCCATGTGCCTTATGGAACCACAGACCTGCTTTGCTTGTGCCTTGCAATGTGTTTTCTTTTCAGTGGTTGTCCCCTTATAAAATTGGGATATTTCATAATAAACATCTATTTTCTCTTCTGTTTTTGAACATTAGGATGTTGGACACCCTGAAGGCCATCTCTGCAAATGCAATCAGCAAGATCTGGGCACCAGCTGCCCCCCTTCCCCATGAGACACGTACTCCAGGCTGCCCAGCCTGCACCCCTCCTCCCCAGAGCCAATGCTGTCCTGGTCCCCGGAGCCGTTCCTGTTTGCAGGGGCTGTTATGGCTGGCAGGTGAAATGCAGGCTGCCCAGTTTAATTTGAATTTCAGATCAACAGTAAATGATGTGCAGGCTTAAGTAGGTCCTAAATATCACAAGGAATGTAAGTTTTAAAAAGTATTCATTGTATATGTGAAATTCAAATTGAACTGATTATCCTACTTGTTTGTTTTTTTGGTAAAGATGGCAATTCTACCTGGACTGGCCCCACCCTTTCCTCTGGCCTCAGGTACCATTTATGTGCCAACAACTTCCCAGCTCAGCTTTGGTCATAGTCCTTCTTCCTATAAACCATATAAACCTCTCACAAACTCTTACTCTCCATTCTACTGGAGGGCCCTGCTTTCCAATGTCATTAGCTGCTCTATCATGCTTTGGCATTTCCGTGACCATCATTGTGGCTCTCCCCCTGTACCAAATCAGCGCCAAACCTGTGTCCCTGCCACACTCGCCCGCCCCACCCCTCCCTATACAACCTGTAATCACCTGAGGTCACTCTTTCTGGTGACAACTTCAACTCCCCTCTCTTCTTCTCTCCCTACATTTAACTAGTCACCCAGGACAATTGTTTCTCACATCACACCTTCTCCACTCCCATTCTTCCTGCTGCTGTTTTTGTAATCTCTCACCTGAAATACTGCAATGGCACCCTAACTGGTCACTCTGCCACCAGCTGTTCCCAAACCCAAGACTCCCTGCAAAATGCTGCAAGAAAGGTGTTTTGAAAAACAAATTTAGTTCTCTCACTTCCTTGCCTAAACCTTCTGTTGGGAGGTTCAATTCTAGTGGTTTATTCATCACTTAACAACTTTTTACATAGAGTCTTGTTCTGGGCTCTTATTTCCATTTCATTGGTTTGTTTCTGTATCCCAGGACCAGGGTCACACAGTTTTCATAATCATGGCTTTGTAGAATGTCTCAAGAGCTAGTTATGGCAAAGTCCCCCCCCCCCACCCCACCCCCGCTCCCCGCTTCGCTCTTCTTTTTCAAATTGATTTGGCTACTTAAGTATATTTAACCTCTCCTGAAAAGATTAGGACAAAATAGTATCATGTCCCTAAAATGTTCTAGAGCACGATTAACTGTAATTGCAGTAGTTTGGGGGGAGGGTTATTTTTACAATGTTTTTTCCCTGATTAGATTTTCCACGACCTTTAAAATTTTTCTCTAGGATGGTTTCCTACATTCTTTCTTAGATTAATTGCTTGACACTTTGTAATTTTGTTGTGATTATACATGGTGCCCTGTTTTCTGTGCTATTTTTCCTCTCTGTGGAGGGCAAGATGACCCCAGAGATCCCCCACCTCCCGGGATTCATGCCTTTCTATAATAACACTCATATTTGAGTGGCAGTTTAGAGGGACATACATTCCTAAATCAGACATTCCCCACCACACACACACAAGATTTTTCAACGATGACTCTTTGTCTTCTCGCATCCAGAGCCGTTGTAGAGAAGTCGGTGGCCCATCCAACTCCCATTCCTTTTCAGGCGTTTTGCTTTTTCCCTCCACAAGGTGAGAGGCAGAGCCAAGACTCTTTCACAGCCAATTCTGACTGCTCTCCACAGGCTGTGCTGCTTCTCTGTTGTTTTTGCAGAGGCCCCTCTCTACTCCCACCTCACAAGATCTAATTGGCTCAGGAAAATTTGCAAGGGGTAGAAGGTTTGTTTTCTCACTTGAGTAGGTAGGTAGCCACCGCTTACTTTATGTTTCAATTTGATCTCTTGTGTCCAAGAGAATGGCGACTTTGATGTCCTTTTGTAGTCTGGAAGGATGAGTTGGGGGATAAGGAATGAAGCATCACTCTTGTTTCTCCAAGTTACACCAGGTTGAGGGGAGAAATTCAGAGAGAGAGGATGACAGTGGCAATGGGGCCAAAATGATCCTTCAGCCCCACCCCCAAAAACAGGATGATCAGATCCAAGATACTCCCCTTCTTGCCCTGCCCCTGTGGATCACTCAGAGGCTGGTCAGGAAAGCAGAAGCCACTCCAAATATGCAGAGGAAGGAAAGGGTGAATGCAGGGACTGAAGGCTGCAGGAGCAAAGGTCAGGGAGGTCACTGAAATGCAAAACCTTGAAATGAAAAATTCGTGCTACAGCCAATAGTTTTAGCTGCCAGCAGCACTCAAGTGGGCGATTCTTAGGAGGACATGACAAAGCTCAAGAAACACGCCCCACCCCTGTGCCGTCTCCCACATGCCTTTCAGCAGCTGCCCTGAACAATGGCTCCTCCTCTCCCACCTTCCAATCTCCTGCAATTGCTTCTCCATTGTCAGGACCCAGTCAGGATTCCACTTGCCAGGGAATGTAGAAATGGTAATATACAGGCTCCTAGGGACAGGGAGAGCACTGGGCATTGACAAATTATATGTGTTACACTGTCTGTCTTGTTCAAGGGTGCAGTCTCAACCAATACACATGGACTGAATTAATGAAGGCAGGAGGGTCCCAGGTCAGGAACCGGATTCTTTGGGGGGAATGGAAAATTCTTCCGCAACCTCAGTCAGTGATGAGATGTGCCCCATTCCCCGACACTCTGCAGGTGCTGCTGGCCTGCTGCTGACTTTATTTTATTGGAGAAGCTTGACAACATTCACATTCAAGTAGAAATCTGACCATGTTGGTCTGCTGTGTCAAACAACACTCTTTTTTTATTTATTTATTTTTATGTGCCTCAGGCATGAAACAGCTCTGTCCACCGACACAGGCATCAAGCTAGGATGAACTAAGGACTGTACATCTGCTTTGCCCTTGATTGATCTAAGAGCAACACCACCATTCAGGTGTCTCCTTGCCCATTGCCAGGGGGTTTCAAACAACACTCTTGTGGCTCACCATCGCCTTGAGAAAGGAATCTGAACTCTTCATCATGACTTCTAAGCCTCTGCATTATCTGGGCTCTTCCGAACTCTACAACCTATCTCATTCTACTCTACCTCTCTCACCACACTGTGGCCATACTGGCCTTCCTGTTCACCAAACATGGCAAGTACTTGCCCACCTGAGGGCCTCTGCCTAAGATGCTGCTGTTCCCAATCTAGACTGGTGTTGGAGACACTCCATAAATATCTGTTGATTCAATAAATATAGATGAGGAGACTGACGCTCAAATAAGTGAAGTGATCATTTTGGCCCCACTGCCGCTGTCATCCTCACTCTCTTGCTTTCTCCTGGTGTAACTTGGAGAAACAAGAGTGATGCTTCATAGCTTATCCCCCAACTCATCCTTCCAGGCTACACACATCCTTCCAAAAGGTCCCACACCTTGTGTGCATTTGAGCCAAAACTCTAACCCCGAAAGGTCACAGAATGAGAGTGATTACGAAGCAAGAATGCTCACGTCTCCCTGTGAGCAGCACCCCTAAGAGCACAGGGCTGGGAGCCCACCTGCAGGGCGGTGAGGAAGTGGGGTGGGGTGTGAGACACACCCCAAACACCATCTTTTAAGACTGGAAATGCCTGATCTTGTGGGCTCTTTCATGAACCCCTTCTTGATGTTTCAAACACTTCATTGCATAAACGTGTGTCATGGTGGGTTTGTGGGAAAGTCAGATGCACCAAAGACAGGCTGAAATGTCAAAGTCGTTGTTCTCATCACCCACTGTTTCCTTTGAGAGTCTGGCAGATGTTGGTCAGGGCTGTGCAGCTGTATGCCTCGAGAGCCTCCCACCCTCGGGTCCCACAAGGAGCCAGTTTTGAACCCATAGCCTTGCGCCAGCAGAAAGTGGGCAGCCAGCCTCGGCCCAGTGAGTGACGAGTGCTAGGCCGCACCTGTTTGTTATCTCACAAATGAGATACTCGCCCCTGAGCCTGGTTTGCAAACCATCTGCAGCTCTCTCACCAGCCCAGAACCTTCCATGGCTCCAGAATCTCAACGCTAGAATGCTGTGGTCACCCTATCATGCCCCTTTCTTACCGATGGGGACCTGAACTCCACAAAGGTAAGCGGAGTCCCCAAAGACCACAGCCGGTGTGTGGAAGAGTCAGGAAGACTCAGTCCTGTCTCCTCGTACTGCCCCTCCCCACACACCCCCTGAAACACCTGGACATGCACTGGCACACCTGATGCCTCCCAGGACAGGGGCGGACACCTGTCTGAGTCAGCCTCTGCTCTGCAGACACCTGGCCCAGGCGCACCGGACCCCACAGTGCATTCATCCTTGCACATCTCACCTCACATATGAAGGCGACCGCTCTGTAAAGAAAGGAGGAGCTCCCCCGGGGCCTGCTTGGGCTACATCCCTCAAGGCAGGGATTCCAGGGAGAGAGCAAAGGGCCTGCGGTTTCCTTCCCCTGGCAGCTCTGAATTAACTCACCCCATGGCTCTGCACGTTTCCTTATCCCCGCACAGCAAATACTTCTCTACACTCCACCTGCACCCTGCCGCGCACGTACGTGCGTGCGTGCGTGCGTGCGTGCGTGCGTGCGTGTGTGTGTGTGTGAGAGACCTTCTGCAAAGGCTCCACTCATGCTCCCTGGGCTCTGGCTAACAAGGGCGGAGGAAGGGCCTGGAGAGGGTTGGAGCAAAGAATAAGGACCCAGTAACTATGATCTCTAAAGAGTCTGATCGCCCCCCCCCCCCCCCCCACACACACACCTTCTGTTGGTTCAGTTTCAGCTCCCTCTCCCCAGAGTGAGGCACAAGATGGGTGGGATACGCGGAAGTGGTCAGAAGGCGGCAGGAACCACTTCCTTTCGCAGAAGGTCTTGGGGTTGACGCTAAGTGTCCAGGCTTCTCTGCTCAGAAATCTCTTCTCTCATTTACAGATGCACATTTTCTACATTCTCCACTTTTTCACATCTTCCTGCACCTCCTGGCTGGAGAGATGCCTGTGTTCACAGTCATGGGAGTGAGAACTGAAATCAATCTTAACACACGGTCATCTGTTCGTTCATTCATTCATTCATTCATTCATTCGCTCTGCACGTACCATGTGGCCCGGGTCAGGCATGGACCCTGCCTTGGCTCTCAGCACAGTGTGGTCATCCAGTGTAACCCCCTCATTGCCCAGGAAATCTGAGATAAAAGACCTTCCCCAACTCCACTGAGCACCGTGGCGGCAGCATATCACTTCCTTCTTTTTTAAAAATGTAAGCCTGTTTGAGTTGGGTTTCTGACACTTGAAACCAAGAGACCTAAAATGCACACAAACACTGAAAGCCTAAAGGGAGCAAGAGTTTCAGGGAAAGGGTAGTGGCCAATGTTTTGTTCCTGGCCAGACACCTGCCAGCCCCTGAGAAAAGGTCAACCCCACCAAATGGGGGTGCCAGTGGCAGAGCCCAGCTTGCCCAGAGAAAAGAGCCCATCCTGGGCTGCATCTCGTCCCTCCACCCACCCAACCTCCCGTGAGACTCAATTCGAGCATGAAACTGCTTTCGATGAGGTTTCGCCTCCTCTGACTCCCACAAGGCTTTCCAGGTCCCCAGAGGCTGATTTTTAATGTGGATGCACCCAAAGAGGCCTGAATAGGGG